CCTCTTATCATCATTTAGTATTATTTATTTATTATTTTATTAGTATTTTTATATTCAACATTTATATATACTGTTTTTAACATTTTTATCATCTATGAACACTACAAATAATAATAATAAAAATTGAGATAAAAATCTGTGTCTCACAGTAAATCTCAATATTTTGTTTATAATAATATGCAATGTTAATACTGTTGTATAATATGGGTGGTTCTGCCCTATAGAAAAATTGGCCACTATTAAAATTAATTCCAGCTATTATGAAAAGCTATTTTGGAATTTGGAATTTGGCAATGATCATTTACTAATAGAATTAATTTTGGTTAACATGTATGATTCAAATATCCATTTCAAAGTTGTACGAATTAAATATTTAATTTTTGAGGATGTTGTGCGTTGAAAATGAAATCTATGTGAATTTGCAATTCACATATGTGAAATTCAAATTATCCAATCAGAATTTCATCCCACCGCAAAATTTTAATTATAAATTTCGATTTCACACAGTTTCAATTTCACCACATACTAATACTAATACAACAAGGATAAATGAAAAGTTGCGAAAAAATTTTGTAACACAAAACAAATTTGTGTGACTGATGTGGGGGAGGAGGGCCAACGCACTATCAAATCGTTAATTACGTCATATCCGCCACGTCCCTAATAATAAAATTTAAATTTTTTTTTTCACAAAAAAGATTTTCCCATAATATAATCAACTTGTTAAAATTTACTTTCTTAAAATATAATAATAATAATAAGTCCTTTATTATAAATGGGCACTAATGGTCGTCCAGAAAAAGATTTTGAACATGTAACAGGAACCTCTCGAAGATCACATCAAGAAGATATTTCTGGTAATAGTGAAGTTGGTAGAGATTTTGCTAACAGATATGGGGTAAATATTTATCTTATTATTTAGATCTAGGTTAATTACAAAATTATTTATTATTGGTTTTTTTTGGAAAAAATTAGGGCTTATTTTCTGAAAAAGATTGGAAATGTCCTACGTATGTTTTTATTTTAACAATAATAAAAATGAACAAAACAAAGAAAACGATATAATTTAAATTAAAAATCAAAAAAACGCAATCATAACCACAATTATTATTTTTAATAGTTGTTCAAATATAAATTGGGCAAGACGTACTGAATGTAATCAATGTAAAACATCAAAACCAGGGTTAGAAACTTCATTGGGTACACGTGAAGGAAGAGGTGGTGGATTTTTGGAACGTGATGAGGTGGTTGAATATAAACAATCAAGAAGTGCTGAAAAAGATGATGAATGGGATGAATTTGGTAGAAAAAGAAAGAAAAAGAAAAACTCTAATTATAATAATAGATATAATAATAATTATGATGATGATGATGAGTATGATTATGATGATAATTATGATCGAACAATTACCAAAGAAAAAAGAGCAGCAAAGGAAGAAGAAAAACACGACTATGAAAAACCCAAAGTAAAATCAAAATCTAAAGAATTAATAAAAGAAAAGAAAAACGAGGAAGATGAGGAAGAAGGAGATGATGATGATCGGTGATTGGTTTAACTTTAATAATATTTAATATTTTTCTTTAGATTTTTTTTTTAAAAATATATTTTTTATTAATAATATTTTTTTTTTAATTAATAAAAAATTTTATTGATTCAAAATTTTATTTATATATATATATATATATATAATATAATATCGATTAAAAAAAATTAATTTTAAAGTTGGGCAGCATGGGATGACATTATTGGAAGTGATAATAAAGGAGAAAATAATAGCATTAACAATAATTACAATAATAGTGGTATTGATGGAAGAGACAATGTAAAATCACATAATGAAAGATCATCATCATCAAAAGAGCATTGGTCAGGTAAATATTCTCGCCGACGTTCTTCACGATCGCAATCTCCATTACCACCATTATCATCACATTACAATGATCATTCATTATCACGAGATAGAAATTCTCACAAAAACAGATCAATTTCTCGAGAACATAGATCATCAGGTCAATCAAGTTCTTGGGACAACCATAGCAACAAACGAAGGTCTAGTATAATAGATGTTCATCATCGTCATAGATCAAAATCTCGATCAAGAGAAAGAAAAAGAAATTCTCATGGTAGTAAATCAAGGTCAACATCTAGGAATAGAAAACGATCATACAAATATAGGTCATGTTCACGTTCTAGAAGTCCTCCTGGTAGGCAATATCAAAATAGATCTTTATCAAGGTCTAAATCTAGTGAGCGTAGATATTAATTAGAATAATAATAAAGAAATTTTTTTCCTCCTTTTTCAATCTCATCATCATCATCATTGCCATTTTCTTTTATTCTTATAAAAATCATTTTGATTTTATTTTTCATAATTCACATACATATTTGATATTGGTATATAAATGTATATGTGTCCATTATATATTAATTAAAATAATATTTGCAATTTTCAAAACAGGTCAATCTGTGTAAATCATATGGGGGTCTTCTACTGGGTATAAGGCCTCCAGACCAAAATTGATCTATATTATCCTAATTATTTTGTCTCTGATAGACACTGTTTACTTGGTGCATATGGTCTGCATGTGTCCAAAGGAATATAATACCTCGTGTGATTTTTGTGTAATAAAAATTTATTTGTCTACGCAAGACACTTACTTGGTCCCTACAACTTTTTGCAGTAAAAATTTATTGTTATTGTCATGTGTTTTGTAAAGATCATCAAGCGCAGGATTTTATCCAAATATATATAGATATTCGCAATAAGAAAATCAAAACCATATATTATTATATGATTTTTTTTTGTGATCTGCATACCACTTGCAGAATTTCCGAAATCTTACGTAATAGTAAAGAACATAGTAAACATATTGTTTTCAAACCACTCACTATTCCTCCTCTGTTTTCAAAGATATAGGCACCAATTTCCATGAAAGGTAGTATATATAATATAGATTAGAGTTATGGAAAGATTTAATGGGCGTAAAAAATATCAGTGGTGTAAAAAAACTCATTTGAAATACAGAAAATTTCTTTCTTTATCATGATATTTTTATCTATTGCAACTTCCAAAAAAATTGTATGGAATAAAGATTCTATCTCCATAGCACTGTTCTAGAAATGTCGCCTGATTAAAAACCTCTAATAATTTTATGAATGTAACGATTTTCCAGAAGCCTTAGCGATTGAAAGTTCATAATACTAGTAAAATATGCTGTTTTCAAACCACTACTCCTTCTCCGTTTTCAAAGATATTGGTATCAAATTTGTATTCAAGATAATATATATAATATAGATTAGAGCCGTGGAAAGATTTAATGGATGTAAAAATAACAATGGAGTAAAAAACTCATCCGAAATACAATTTCATTGTAATATTTTTATCTATTCCCAAAAAAATTATGCAATTAAATTGCTTGAAAGGTTTCTAAAATCTTCAAAATAAAAAAAACTTTATAAACTTTACATATAGTGTATTTTTGAATGTTTATTTAACATGAAACTTTATAAACTTTATATTTATTTAATATAAAAAATAATATATAGCAAAGTTTTTTTAGAGGAAAAAGGGGGATACCATGAACAAATCCGCATTATGACCCCAACAATTCGTGATAAACGGGAAGGACCGACATACCTTTTAGTAGTAATAGTAAAACGCGGGTTAATAACTTAATAAAATAATCTTTGGCCGGTTTTCCCATTTAATAATTTCGTAAATACTTTCTCATTATTATTATTTTCATTCAAACGTTCAAACGTCAAAGCGACTATATTTAATCGTGAATCTTATTTCTGTAGATTATATTGCATCTCATTTGCATTATGGAATAAATTCAAGAGAATGTTATGACTTCTTTAATTTGATCAAGAAAGACAATAGCAGCTTTTGCAATAAAAAATTTGTAATGTTGAACTCTCTCCTGTTGAAATTTTTAGGAATTTCTTCCAACCTGGATGTCCTAAAAGAAAACCGAGAATACGGGAAAAAGGTGGTGGAAAACATATGTCTGATAAAGCGATATAATTGCTGAAAACTTTTTTCCATAGTGGTGACATAAATAAAAGTAATGATATACAGCTAAAGAAATGTTTGAAAAACTCCAAAATAATGTGGAAACAAGTGAGTTGGAGGTAAATGACATTCCAAAGTTGAAAAAAATAATGAATAAGAATCCTTAATCACATTTCTCCAAGTGAATTTTCTGTTTTTTTTTTTTACACATAATTCTGTGCAGTTTTGAATTCATACTTTACCAGTAAAAAATTAGCATATAGTTTTTTAACAAAAAAAAAAAATTATTAATGTTTTTTATTATTATTATGCATAAATGTGATACTTGATAATAAGGTTTTTGTGTCAACTGGAGATGTTTCTGGCGAATTGCGAATTAATAATAAAAATGTAAATAAATCCACCTTTCACAAAACTTGCAGGCTTCGTACATCTTGTCTTTAACGCCTACCACCTATCATGCAACTATTGAATAATTGATAAAACGTCCGTTTTACAAAACTTGCTTTGCGAGCTTCGTAGATTTTGTCTTTAACATTTAATCCCATCAACCCGCCCATGTAATTATTGAATAATTAATAATAAATATCCAGATACTCATTATTATTAATTTTATAATTAACTCCTTTTTTAAATATTCTTATATGAAACGCCTTGTGAAACGATCCGATGTTTACTTTTAAAAACAAATATCATAACATTAAGACAACCTTTTAAAATTAAATGCCAAGACTTTCAATATTGCAAAGGAGCTACTTTTTGAAAATTAAGTTTATCAGGGGTCCTATGGAATAAAGTGCTGCCACTAGGATTAAAAATGGAGAGCTGAAAGTACTTTGTACAGCTCGCGAAAGTTACCAAGTCTGTAGACGTCCTAATCTGTTATTAACAATAATGACGTAAATGCTCACATTTAATTTACAGGTTGGATGGACCCTGGTAATGGTGGTGTGAATCTACCTCCTTTTAATACAGTGCAAAAATAAATCATGTGTTGGTAAATTATTTTTTTATCTACTGTTGTTCTCTCTTTCTCTCATACACACGCATATTAATTATTATTATTTTATTACAAGGACTGGGCGATGTGCGCGATTTGGAGAGAATGCAACTAAATATCCTCCGAGAGTTCTAATAGCACCGTATGAAGTAACTTTACCTTTCGAACAAAAAAATGAGCTGAAACATCTAAATATAATGTTATCGCAACTGATAAACAATGATATATACGTAGATGAATTGACAGTCCACAACGTTCTAAAATTTTATTTCATTGTCATATTTGAATAAATTATATTTGATCTTTTGGTCTATATATTTTTAACATATTGTTATATAATAAATTTATCCAACTATTTATTCATCAAGTCCAATCCCGCTCTCGATTGAAATTTCATACAAAAGGTATTGTCTCTATAAACAAATTAGAAAAACCTAATTCTATTACAAATAATTTATCACATCAAGGTGATGATGATATACCACCTTTATATCTATTGTCACCTTTTCCTGGTATCATTATAGTTGCTTGCTTGTATTATTTAATCGTTATTAGTTACATTTATCATCGTAGGAACAAAACATAAAAGAAAAATTTAATGCCTCTATTTATAATAAACCATAAACCATATCTATCTAAAATAAATGATTTTACTATTAAAAAAAACACCCAAGTAAGCAACACGAGCAGTAGAGAGCTTTATGAATTTGCTAAAAATAAACATAAGGAAATTCGCGAAAATAATAATAATATCAATGGTAGTGTCGTTATCAGTAGTATTAGTAGTAGCGAGTGATACACAAAAGTAAAATCTTAGGTGATTAGATTGATTAGATTGCTACTTAAAAGTTATGCAAGTAATATTTCATTAAATAATCTTGATTGTAACTCTTTTCTCTAAAATGTTGAAGGTGAATAAAATTTCATTATTATTAAGTATTCTAGTAATTAAAGAAAGAATTTATGAAGATTGCAAACAACTCACAATAATTCGGTGCTTGTCAATTAACTAGTTTACGAATTACTTTGGTTCTCGATTATTGCCTCTTCCTCGCACACACTTGACGTACCAGATAACTGTAAATAAATAAAATGGCATTTTTACAAAGCTCAAAGGCTTCTTCTTATTCACTTGTGATCGATTTATTTGCCGATTGCAAACTCTCTTGCAACCAAGTAGTTTGTTTAACAGCCTTACGTTCACAATTACAATAATACTACCAGTATTTCCAATTAACCTTTGGATGATACTTCATTTAACACTCACTAGTTAATCAACGTTGGTCCTAACCTTTACTTGCTCATTAAAGTAAATTACCTTATTAATTGTTGTTAACGTCTGTCCACTAGTCTTAACCTTTGCTTGCTCACTAAAGCGAATAAAACGTGGCCTTTTAAACAAAGTCACACAATTGTTACCTTTTACCAAGGTACTGCACTTGTTGCTTTATCAAAACGCTTTAAACAAAGAAAATAAAGACGTTTTTATTTTTATGTTTATTTTTAACGATTAATTTTATTTAATAAATAATGATTCTATCGCAGAGTTTTATTTTATTAGAATGTTAATTATCTATTATTTTCCTCTGCTTTTCAAGCGAGGGCTGAAGTTATTCTTTGCTTCAATTCAATGAAATTTCCGTTGATCATTTACAATAAGGATTAATATTAATTATTATTATAACAAAAGGATCAGTTGAAACGATAAAATTTTGGGAATCAGCCATTTCCTGTTGCACGCATGTAAATTTTACTTATTTATTTTGGCCCGATAATCTTTTGAAGATTTCCGACAAAATTTTCCCAAACCGGGCATTGCCCCGATATACATTTCGCGCCCTATTACATACATTCTTACCAACGAATAATATTCCTTGTTTGTTTTTTCTGCATCAAACAATTTGAAGTAGTGTTACATTGATAAAGAAACTTTGTGGCTCAAGATAAAGAAAATTAGTCATCACCAGCCACAATTAAAAATTGTGACATCAATATCTTGATGTATTGTGTGACGCCATATAATCTCATCCAACCTACAATAATACTTACAATACAAATAATAATTGGGGAAAATTTTTAATTTTTTTATTTAAAGCATTCTCTTCCTCATTTAAATATTAATATTTTAAAAAACCCAAAAACGTTTATTGATATTTTTTTTAAAACTTTAAAAAAATGGTATGTTATTTTAACTGAAAAAAATATTTTACAATTAATATATATATTATATATATTATATATAAACGATATAAATATAAATAAAATATGTAGGCTGACCAATTAAACGAAGAACAAATTACCGAATTTAAAGAAGCCTTTTCTTTGTTTGATAAAGATAGTGATGGTACTATCACTACAAAAGAACTTGGCACAGTTATGAGGTCTCTGGGGCAAAATCCAACAGAGTCCGAATTAAACGATATGATTAATGAAATTGATGCAGATGGAAATGGAACAATCGACTTTCCGGAATTTTTAACCATGATGGCAAGAAAAATGAAAGATACTGATTCAGAAGAAGAGATAAAAGAAGCATTCAAAGTATTTGATAAAGATGGTAATGGATTTATTTCTGCAGCTGAATTAAGACATGTTATGACTAATCTTGGTGAAAAATTGTCTGAACAAGAAGTAGATGAAATGGTAAATTTATGATAATATGATTATTGTCTTATTATTTATATAGTATTAATGTGCGATTTGATTTTTTTTTCTAGATTCGTGAAGCTGATGTTGATGGTGACGGTCAAATCAATTATGAAGAATTCGTTAAAATGATGATGACTAAATAAAATAAAAAAAAAATAAAACTTTTTTATAATATTAATTATTTATTTTTATTATAATCATAATTTATAATTTGATTTATTTAATTGATGATTTTTTAATAATATAATTTTTTAATTCATATATATAATAGATATGTATGTATGTATGTATGTGTTTATATAATTTATAAATAAAAAAGTGAATGGATATTTGTTAATATTTGGTTGTTGTTTTTTATTGTCAATTACCATAACTCTTATCCATATCTACCTTTACTAAAAATTTTCTTTCTTTGTTATTTTCTTGATTTTCTTGATTTATTGATCTATTGATGATGTGGCATTTTTTCCTCTTGGTCTTCCTCTAGGTCTTCCTCTAGACCTTCCCCTAGACCTGCCCCTTGATTTAGCCTCATTATTGATTGTTTCATCAACATTATGATCAACGTTATAATTATGATCCTCCTCATGATTATTGTTATTATCTTTTTCTTCTTCTTTCTTCCCACCCTCGTTTTCTATAACTTTTCGTTTTAATACCTTTGGTGTATCAGAGGATTTCTTTTTTTTAATTTTATTTCCATCAAAATTTTCATTTTTTACTATTGCTGTCACTGCCTTTATTTCGTCATCACTTTCACGCTCGGGTGATGATGATGGTGATGATTTACAAGAACTACCCAAGTATGATGATTCATCCGAAATATAAAATCCATCGTTATCATTGTTATCATCATCATTGCCATCATCGTTGCTGTCATTATCGATAAAATTTTTTTTATGCTGTTTGCTTAAAATTCCTTCATCACTTGTATGCCCATCATCATCATCATCATTGTCATCATCATCGTCATCATCATCAACAACTATATCAACATCATCAACATCATCAATATTGTCGAATGTTTCATTATTATCATTGCCTCTCCTTTTTTCATCTTTCCCTGTCACATTAACATCATTAGAAAGTGATCCAGAAGATCCTTGTGAAGATACTCCCCCAATCGAAAATTGGTATGATGGTGACAAATGAGTAATATCATCTTTAAATGTAGAATGATCATCTTTAATCGTCAAATCATCATCTTTAATCGTCGAGAATGAAGAAGACTTTGAGGTTGTGAAATTATCTTTGCTTTGTCTTTGTTCTTTTGATTGTAATAAGATGGACACTGTAAATGGATATTTTGTCTAAAATATTTACTCAATTTATAAATATATATATACGTATATTTTGAAAACATTTATGATTTTTTTTAAAAAAACTAGATTATACCTGCATTAATGTTAATGTCTCGCCATGTTGAACTTCTACTTTATTGTTTTTTCTTATTTGTTCAGATCCACGCATCATTACATTTGATCCAAGCTTAAAAATGAATCAAATAAAAAAATATATCAAGTAAAAGATATATCGAATAAAATAAAAAAAAAAATAAAGTAGATTGAAATTTACCGATGTAACATAAACTTTACCATTCCTAATTTCAAATCTCGCTTTAATAAAAATTGAGTATTATTCTTGTAGTATTGATAATAACCGAAAAAATAATGAATTAATAACTACCTTGTATTTTATTAAGAGCTTTATCGTCAACACGTACTTCATCTCTACCAATCTCAAGTATATTAGGTTCAATAAAACTAAAAGTTTTGTTTATGGGATCCAAGAAATTAATTATTACTTTTATTGACATAATTCAAGATATTTTTTTTTGCATAAAAAAGACATGTTTTTAACAATTTTAATATCAATTGTTATTTTTATATCAAACGTGATTGATTATCAATAAAGATCAACATTTTTATTTCCAAGTAAATAACACATCAGTGGTCCAAGACAGGTCTCAATATAGTTAAAATTGAGTTTTCAAATATTTGTTCAGAAAATTTTTTTACAGCACATTCTCTAGCATTAATTTGTATATTGTTATATTCAAACCCTGATAAAGAAAATACTTTGTAAAGCTCTTTTGCAAAATTTTCTTCATTATTTGCAAGAAATCCTAATAAATATAATACAGGTATTAATAATTGGTTTTTTTATAAACATGGACAAAAAAATTTACCACCTGTTGTTTTATCATTATATGGAATGACAATATCCATCTTAGGGCCACCTGAATTATGTGCAATGGGTATGATTCCAGCAGCCTAATAATAATTTATTTTATTACTAAAATAATAATATTGATGATGATGATGATGATGATGATGATGATGATGATGATGATAAAAAGATTTTTTAAAAAGAAATCAAAGTGTTTACCATATATTCAACAACACCAATTCCAAAATGTTCATTCCACATTGTATGTAGTCCAACTTTAGCTTTTGACAACCAATCCACAAGTGTATTGAAATCAGCATTCACCTCAAATTTAACATTTTCCTAAGCATAAAAATGATATTTTTTAAAAATAAAATAAAAATAATAGTAACAATAATAGTAATGATGATAATGATGAAATCTTGACTAACTTCTATACCAAGTTTTTTGACCTTTTCCTTTAATGCTTCTATTCTTGATTCATCAGCTAAATCACGACTGCTACCAATTAATACAAGCTTTACTTTTCCTGAACCTTCACGAAACTCTTGATGATCTCTTAGTAAACAATGCAATGATTTTAACTGAAGTTCATGATCTTTCTCTGGTCTAAAATTATAATTAAAATAATAAATATTTAATAAATTAAAAAATTTTTTTGATTAATGCATTTGAAATAAATATTTGTGAAATTAACCTAAATTGTGCAACACTAACTATAATTCTTTCTCTTCCATCCAAAGGTAATTTAGATAAAGAATCCGTATCACATGGTGGATAAACTATATTGCTATTAATGCCCCAAAGTTGATCTATGTGACCTTTTGTCCAAGTGGAATTGACCATAACTATATCTGCATATGAACCAGATAATGAATAAAGATATGCAAAAATTTTATAATATCTAAATTATTCAATAAATTTATTATTAGTTAGATAAATATATAATCTTGGAAATAAATGTGTGAAATGAAATGAATTATTTGCTCATTCACTCATTCATTTATTAAATTAACCAATCTTACAATAATTTTGCCTCACTAAATAATCTACTTTTAGCTATTATTTTATCATTATTAAATCCAAGTCTTCTTTCTTATACCTTAGCAAGCATGTCTGAACTATATAAAATTGTAAATAAATGTGGAAAAATTGGAGTTTTAATCCAAAACAATTTTTATTACTTTTACCTTATAGTTGGATAATGTACATAGGCCAAAACTTTACATCCAAATAATTTTTTTGCAATTGGATATGTAAATGCATAACCCATTGTATCTTAAAAAATCACATTTATTATTGATTATTTATTCATAAATAGATGAATCACTTATATTATTATTATTAAATACCAAAATATATATCTGGTGTAAGTTTATTTAATGCCTCATATCCAAGAACCATTGAACCAATGCTTTGGCCTAGTAATGTGAATCTAGGATATCTAAAAAAAACAAATTTAATATACAAAGAAATATAGTTTTATTAATTATTATCATAATATATTAAACTTGTCATATTATTATTATTATTACTATTACTTCCACTACTATCACTTTTTACCTTCGATCTACTACCCATTCTCTTTTGTGTAAAAATATAAATTCAACAATTTCTGATTTAATTTCAATATTAAATCTTTCCTAAGAATTGTTTAACAATTTAATTTAACTTGATGATATTATTTCATTTTCTTTTAGTTTGTGATCAACAAACATACTAAAACTTTTGATAAAATTTCTTTCTTTGTCACATCCACGTCTCCTGTATAAACAACACATATTACATTCAAATTTTTTTCTTGGATACTATGAATAGTTGTCCACAAAACCCTTTCACCACCACCACCAGAATTACTGTATATATATATAAGTTTAATTAATTGATTGATTAGTTGATTGATTAATTAATTAAATTAATTATATCAATTATTGTTGCTCTGAAATTTGTTATGAGTGAATTACCAATATGGATGAAAGAATCCAAGTATTAAGGGTTTATTTGTGGTAAATTTATCATTGTTATTTTTTAAATAATTAAAAAATTCATTTCTATTTGATTTGAATTTTTCAAAAAACTTCAGGGGTACATATTTTAGTAACCAGCAGGGATATGATTTTATGCACTCTGCGTAATATTGCATAATAATATAATTAATCGTGTGTATTTTTCCGCGCAACCGGCATGTTTAGAAATTAAATTGGCGATCTCATATTCATAAATTATGCAAAATCTTCAGTTAATTACACTATAGTATGGCAAATATATTCGACTACAAAATCCAAGGAATGAACTAACTGGTGGATTTTGAATACAATATCTAAGGAATCTTGATCTCTAAAATTAAAATTGATTGGATTTTCAAATTATATTTAATATTGTTATTAGGATTCATTTGGAACATATAAAGTAGATATTAATTACTAAATGCTGACAATGTTATATAAGATATTATTATTAACAAATCAATTTATTATATTATAATTAGTTAATTATCCACTTACTATGTAGACTATGTGAAAAGTTTTAAAAGTCTTTATGAAAAAAGTGGAGGATTTTATCACAGAAGTTAAATTGGCAGTTGTTCATTGAAGAATATGAATTCTGTGATTGGTGTAGGGATACTACAAGTTTGATGCTCAGTACTATGATCACGTGAATGTATATTTTGGATGTTTCCTTCCAAGGGGTTTTTATTATTTTTACGTGTGTTTCAACATTTCTCAAGAAAGTAGACATGAAGAAAATGATAATGGCATTGTGCTTACCCTCCACCTAGTTTGATTGAGACTAACTAGCCTTGTTGATAGGAAAGTTGTTATTAATATTTTGTAATTGCAGGTATGAAAATAAAAAACAACATGTATATCACTTGGAGCACAAGCAATCAATCAATTAATGACAGGATATTGAGAGCAAAAACTATAGTCATTCTCACATTCCTCATGTACATAAGGCTAATAATTAGTCAGACCAAGATTCCCCTGATGATACAATGATGCAACTAAAACTTATTGACCAACATCCTCATAAAGTAATATTCATATGAAAGATTAGAGTATTTTACACTTATTGAACCATCAATCAAGCAACATGTGAGAAAATAATTACACCATTTTTTGAATAGTCGTAACTTTGTGCAGATAATATTCCATTGAAAGTTTTAATTGAGCAGTTTTATTTATTTTTAAAAAAACAGTAACACAAATTCGTGATTATACTTAATAATTAATATTAAAATCTGGACATCTGCACTATTGACACTAGCAAACGTAAATAAGTAAGTGTTATCAGAGCAATGTTAGAAATCACTAGTTCAAGCACTAGTTTTTTTTTAAAGAAAAAAAGAAAGTAACAAACAGGTAGAGAAGAAGCATTATATGAATAAGTGTTATAGAGCAATATTAGAAGCCATTAGTCCAAGCTCTAGTTATTTTTGAAAAAAAACACATTATAATAAACGTTAATCATGGGTTTTTCTTGTTAAAAAAAACAATTAAAAAACCAACAAATCAGTAATAATGATAATATAGTTAAAAAACAAACCTAATATTGTTATTAATCTGGTATTATATACAACTATTGAATCTGAACTTTATGAAGCTGGATCAGAAAAGATCCTTGCAAAGAAAACAAGAGCTCAAGAATGGGATGATATTGACCTCACATAAATGTATGATCCTATGATGGATGCAATAGATATTTGAAATATAATTTATCTATTTTTTCTGGAGGAAGGTTAAATAATAATATTATTATTATTAATCATATATTAAGGGATAATAATTCTCTTCACATTATGTGATTGATAAAATAAAACAATACCAAAGCATAATTATATGGAAAACCAACCAAAATTTAAGAGGGCAACTCTTGTTGACTGACTTGTTGAATTTCATTATAAATTTCGTTTATTACATTCTTAACAGTCAACTTAGTTGATAGGTCTCATCAGCCTGTATAGCCTCCATGGTCAAATCAAAACTTCTAAGCATTATTGCACTTTTTATTTTTGCCAAATATGAAGATGTTAAGGCTCCATCCATCAGTAATTACATTATTTTTGAAATGGCTACATAAAAGATGAAACTCTCAACGCAGAACAACATTTATTATAAACTATTGATTATAAGTACTCCCTCCATTACTGCTGCGGCTTAATCATGATGAATAGGTTAGTGTTTTGAATTGGAATCGGGAATTGGAATGAAATATATAAGATTTGGCAATTTGGAAATAATTAATCTAAAAATTAATTATATTTTAATAATTAATTATTAATATTTATTATCTATTATTATTAATTTAGAATGCAAACCTGATTCATTATTTCACATTTACAGAAGAGCAAATTATACCTTGTGCAAAATGATTTTAGTAAGAAGATATTATCAATCATACTTATATTGTTATTTCATCAGGTATTGTAAAATCAAGTGTGTTTCTAAAATTTGTATGAAAATAGATTATGAAAAACAGATCAACTACAATTATGATATCAACAACAACTGTCAGTCTTCATCTCATCTTCAAATAATTGCAATTGATTTTTATTTTTTGCTACTATTTGTTGCTGCATTCTATTTTAAATGCTGATATTTTGCTCTATTATAAAAAATCAGAAATCATAATTATCAATAATCTTGTTATTTATTTTAATTTATAATAATAATAATAATAATTAAAATACCTTAAAATTATCAATAGGAACAAGTTCAGGAAAGAATGACAATATATCTTCAATCTTAAGTATATCTACTCATTTGTAATTTATTCCTCTTATTAAATAAAGTGCTGAAGATATTAGATTAAAATGTCTCTATTTATTTAAAATGTTATATATTTATATTCAGGACGCACACAAAAAATTGCAGATGGATAAATAAATTCATTTATCATGCGAACATGATATCCAATCATTTTTTTGTCAGAAAATTTTTTTGTAAGAGCCCTTTTTATGTCAAAATGCTTTTCATATCAGAATGTGAATAAATTACTATTACTATG